ACCACCCAGGAGAACTGGAGGAATACATATCAACATTGATTATATATTAGTTAATGTGTTGATGATGCGATGATCTCAAAAATAATCAAAATCATTCCCGTACTAGAAAGCCTGGATGAATGGAGAGGTGATGGCTATATCCAAAGCCAAACAAATCTGTCTTTCGTTCAGGTGACAAGGAAGCATACAGCATCACCAGAGAAAGACTGAAAGCTGGTGTCAAGATGGACTGATGAGAGATCTCAACACCAACAACACTAAAGATATGTGGCAGGAGATCAAGAATGTCACAGACTATAAAAGCAGGAGCACCCCCATCATGTGTGAGGCCACGTTCACAGATGAGCTGAACACCTTTAATGCTTGCTTTGATCTCCTCAACAAAGAGTCAGCTGTCAAGTCTGCCCCACCTCCAGAGGACCGCCCACTGTCAGTATCCTCTGAGGATGTGAGGAAAACTCTGATGAGAGTGAATATGAGTAAAGCTGCTGGGCCTGATAACATCCCTGGTCGTATACTAAGAACATGTGGCGACCAGCTAACTGGTGTCATCACTGATATTTTCAACATATCACTGTCACAGGAGAGAGTTCCACCCGCTTCAAGACAGCCACCATCATCCCTGTCCCTAAAAAGTCTGCAGTGTCCAGTCTAAATGACTACTGCCCTGTGGCACTCACAGGTGGTTTGTGAAACTGGTTCTCCAGCATCAAAAACAAGCCTGGACCTCCACCAGTATAGAGAGCCAACAGATCCACAGAGGATGCTGTCTCCACTGCTCTCCACTCAGCCCTCACTCATCTGGAAAATAACAACACCTACATCAGAATGTTGTTTGTTGATTTCAGCTCAGTCTTGAACACAAGATTTCCAATTAAACTGATGGTAAACTTAGCACTCTCACAAACCGACCCCAGGCCATTCAGATTGGCAGCCACACCTCCACACTCTGGTGTTGAACACCGGTGTGCTCCGCCCTCTCCTGTTCACGCTGTACACCAACGACTTAACCTCCAACATGAAGAGAACTCTGTTGAGAAGTTTGCAGATTACATTATTGTCATCAGCCAGATAAAAAGCGACGATGAGACTTCATATAGAGAGGAAATAAACAATCTTGCCCCGAGAACAAACTACTGCTCAACATCAGTAAAACCAACTATAAGAAAAAGGAGGCAAAGACCCACGCCCCTGTCTACATCAACAGAGCAGAAGTGAACAGTTCTCTGTTTCTGTCGTGGTTAAGGTTCTGTCTGTTAAAGCCGCTGTCGTGGTCATGACACACCTCGCTCCCAGCTCATAAACAGCTGCATTCCTCAAGGATTCTTAAGAAGGCACAATGCCCCTGCCAAGTTCTTGTCAACTTTCACAGAGGAGCAAATAAAAGCACTGCAAACATTACAAAGACTGCAAACATTACAAAGTGACATGAGATGTGTGCAGCCCCAAACAAGAAGGTAACAGCTGGTAATTTAAACCACCCAGAACATCATTGGTACCCATCTAAGGAGCATGAGTGATATTGGTGAGAAGAGGTTTCAAAGAGCTCAAAGGATATTAAGACACATTACCCACCCAGCCACAGCCCGTTCCCCCGGCTGCTGTCTGGAAAGAAACCCAGAGGAATCCCTAATGCTCGGTAGATGGTACCAATGAAGGGCTTTGAAGTTTTAATCACCCGCTGTAGAGCCGTCCTGACCTGGGCCAGGTACATCCCATGCCAGCTTGTAATGTTTGCAGTCAGGATGCTTTCTATGGCTCCTCTGTAAAATTTGACAAGAACTTGGCTCGGGAGTTATGCCTTCTTTATTTTCCACATAACAAATATATAGTTTATGATTTTTTTTTTACCAGGATGGAGATGTGTGATGACCGTGGTCAGGTTGTTTGTGATGCTGATTCCCAGGAACTTAAAACTATTGACTTGTTCCACTTTAGCTCCATTGATGTAGACAGGGGTGTGTGTCTTTGCCTCCTTATTCCTAAAGTCAACATTCAGCTCCTTGGTTTACCACCACTCTGTAAGATCGACCAAGACAGGTTTTACAGGAACACTGTTGTTCATTTCCTTCTGTCTCGATCACCGGGTCACGTGGTGTTTCACTGTTACACTGTGATCAGTGGCTTTAGCTTCTAAAGGTTAATCTTTTTAACCTGTTTTCTCTGCTGAATCACGTTGACATGCTGGATATATCCTTCAAGCACATAATGTAGACCTTTCTGTCTGCTTCTCTTTGAAGTTGCTTTTTTCCTAAATTAGATATTTATTCAGTGAGTGCAGCTAGTGAAAGTGTGGGCTCCATGGTAGTTCTGACTGCTTGACAGAGTAGCAGCAGGGGGCGGGGCTTAGCGAAGGGTCAATCAAGGCTCATAAGAAGTAAATTAAAGACATATTAAAGTAATACTCCAACCTGAGCGACAGTCTATGGATCATCAGCAGTGTGGTAAAATGTTCATATGCCTGCAACATGGGCAGAACTAGCTTTTCTCTCAAAAAGACTAAAGCTAGCTGAGTTTAAGCCAGCTTTTTCACTGCTCAGCACTACAGTGGAAGCTCCGGGGCATTTTGTCTCCATCCTGCCATCCTCTCATCAGCAGTAAAAGCCGTCAATTTACAGTGCTGAGAGGGAATGCAGTGTGCCACAGGGCAGCGGTTACACAGATAGATTACCTGCAAATCCCACCCAAGAGGGATGGAGAGCAGCCACATCAGCAGACTGCATGCCGCACACACACACACACACACACACACACACACACACACACACACACACACACACACACACACAGACCTCGGAGTATAACCACACCAGGCTTCATAGGGCCAAACCAGTTCATGGTGCTGCTACGGTCTGACTGGATAATGAGTGGACTACCAGGGGAGCAGGAAGTCCACAAGGTTGGAGATTGATGAAAAATCATAATAACGATTGAATCAAATGGCAAAGGTTAGGGCTGGACCATCTGCAAGTTACAACCTGGTTGAAAGAGGGACACAACAATCTGATGCAAAACATGGGTTCTTCTTACTGAACTAAAAATAAATAATAAAAATAATTTTACATCACTGAGGTAAACCCCACCTGCTGACAGCAGAAAAACATGTGCACAGAGGTAACTTAATTGAATATGATACTGGATTCTGGACGGTGACAGACTGGCTTTATGTCCAGAGTCCTTCAGACTTTTTGATAAGACTGAAAGACTATCTAGCATTACATCGTTTTAGTTGTCTATATTGGTCCTGTGATTTGGGTTTCTAGGTTTTGGGTTTTCTGTTTCATTTTGATATACTCACCTTTTGTCATGTCTGGTTTTATTTCCCTGCCCGGGCCTGATTTGTTCCTGACTGTGTCTAATCATTACAAAAAGCTGCAGTCAAGTCAGACACTTTCCTGCAGCCTTCAAAGAATACAGGAAATCATGGACGTATTCACATTCTGTTA